GGTTGAGCATTGACCTATGAACCAGGAGGTCACGGTTCGATTACCGGTTGTTCAGGGCATATGCCTGGGTTTCTGGCTGGCTCAGTCCCCAGTGTGGGGTGTGCAGGAGGCAGGTGATCAAGGATTCTCTTTCATTGATCTCTCTCTCTCTCTCTCTTTCTCTCTCTCTCCTTTCTCTTTTTCTTTGAAATCAATAAAAAAATATTTTAAAATGTTAAGGAAAATACACAAGATTAGGATTTAGTGTTTTCTTGGCTGATGGAATTTGTTTATAATTTGGACAGCATGAGAAGCTTTTAAAGGTTATTTTAAGCAATGTTGTGATTCCATTATAAGATTAACCTGACAATTGCATAGAAGATAGATTGCAAGGAGGAGAGCCTGAGTAGGGCTCCTGGTGGGATGTGCCCTTAGCAAAGAGAGATTCTAAAGGCACAGAATTGTGGAGTTGGAAATGAGAAAGTTTAGTAAGTGCAGCATCAAAGAAGTGATACTTAGTTTATATGGTAATAGTTCTGATGTTAAAGATAGAAAGGCCAAAGGTGACATCAATAAATTAGGCTTGGTTGACTGAAAAGAAGGTGGCATCACAAAGGGAGATAAAAAATTTTTAATTTTGATCACCGTCCTAGACATTTAAGCAGAAAGACATGTTGCTGGGGGTCAGAGGAGCACTTGGTCATTGTTTCAGATAAGTATATCTTTTAATCACCTACATCTTTCATTGTCAGAAATAATTTCACTCATCAACAGATGGATTCGATTGTTTATAAATGAAACAAAATAAATTTGGTTTTGGACTTGCTGACTTTGAGGTACTGATGGGGCATGTGGGTTATTTTGATAGGAAGACACAGTTAGAAATGCTTCGTGAGAGTACATGTCCTTTGAGAGCATGTTTTATTTATTTTTACACAGAGTAGGTGTTGGCAAATATTCACTGAATGAATAAATAATGAAAAATAAATGCATAATTTTGTAAAATTAGTTTTCAACAATGGATTTCTTTTCTGACTAACACAAAATAGGGCAATGAGTATAGAAACATAGATTTAAGTTACCATAGACATTATGCAATTATTTTTGTATATTTTGTTTAATTCTCATAAATTGCCTCAGAATGAGAATTATTAGTTTTTTAAACTTTTAATGATATATAGCACTATTTGTCCTTAGTAGCAAAGTATTATTATTAAATTAAATTTATAAAACAGTAATTGTCAGAATAAGTAATTATTTAATATAATAAACAGGGAAATTTTATGAAGAATCTAAATTATACATGAGGGACAGTTTATCATTTCTATGCCTAACAGAGTAAGATTTTTAAATCTTGATTATTTTTTAATCATTGCTTCAAAATTATCTGAATCTATCTCTGCTGGCCTGCAGGAAAGATAGGACATGTTAACAAAGTCTTTACACTTTGCAATTTCATATGACTGTTCTGTTACTCATCTAATCACTGATTTTGTAATCCTCAGTACTTCTGCTTTGAGCTGTTGTGCTAAAAGGGAAACTTAGAGTTGAAAATATTCTTCTGTTTAGCCATTTATTTAATCCCCAGGATCATGACCACTGACTTGAAGACATTTGTCACTAATCACATGTTCTTAATGCACTCCGTTGGTGAATAAAGAGTGGGTACTAGAATGGTGTTGGATGGTTTGATGGCAAAAATATTTCCCCTTTCTTTTCTTTAAAATTTTTTTTAATTTTTCAATTACAGTCAACATTCACTATTATATTAGTTTCAGGTATACAGTGTAGTAGACATAAGCCACAAGCTAAAAGGGGCGGCTCAATGCACCACTCTGCGCACGTGAACCTGATTGATCAATACTGGAGGCTTAGACACCAGATCCAAGCAGGGCCAATCAGATGCTCTCTCATGAGAATGTTTAACACTATATTTCAAGATAGTTTCTGAGTTACAGAAAAGCTGCAAAAGGAATACTCATGTATCCTTCACCCTGCTACTTCATTTCCTAAGCATCAGAAACTTCAAGGGAGATGCATGAAGACTTGGGAAATGACGTACTCTTAAACTTCTCCTGAGCAGCCTAGTTGCTCTGGCTTCTCCGTCTCAAGACTCAGTTGTTTGGCTTCTCTTTGTATTGCCCTAAATATCTTTCTTTTAATTTGAGATGTTGTGGTTATTAAAATGAGCCCTTCACACCGTAGACTATGGAGAAAAACAGCCTTAGCGACTGAGCTCTTAAATCCATGATCACATTCCAAGGAGGCCATATTTCCCATGAGCTTCTCCAGATAATGAGTGAGTGTGGCAGGGAAACTAAGGCAGGCCCATTCCTGGAGGGCACAGGACTTGTCTGACAGGTGACTTTGACTTGAGGATACCCAATGGCTTTTACTAACCTGTTAAGAATTACGCTACAGAGTAAGATACTTTCTACCAAAACTATTTTTTTGCTGTCTTTACTTAACACAAAGTTTACATCAAGGTATGATAGTTCTTCCAGTCTCCTTCTTTTTATCCATTTGTCTTCTTTTTGTAGTAAATGTTACCTAGCGCCTTGTTGGCTGTTTGTCTATTTTGCCCCAATGATGTCTGCTCTATTAATCACCTTCACAACTATTTGCACTTTAAGCTCTCCTGTCTGCCTTTTGGATCTTGTAGATCCTTATGATAAGGGCAGCCCCTTTGATTTTTGGTAATTAACCACTGCTATCTGGTTTCTGTTATGTCTAGGCCTCATCAGATACATCCATATTCATGAGCTGGCTCTGGGATTACATCTCTTACTGTCATTCCTGGTCAACAGAAAAGAGCCACTTCTCAACTTCTTGGTGATGCTGGTATCACTTTCACAGCTCATTCCTGATGGCTTTGATGAAAGGTGAGTCCTCTGGGCCTCTCATGGAACATATCTAGAGTTTTTTCTTTGTGTGTGTGTGTGTGTGTGTGTGAGTGTGTGTGTGTGTGTGTGTGAGATTCATCTAGGGGCACACTTTGCAATTATAGCTCTTTAAGCATCTGAAAGTAAAAGTCCCGCAACTTTAATATTCTGTGTTTTATCTTTCTGAAGCTCCAAACAGCTAACATGCATGTAGAATTACCAGAACCAAAGTCCCTCACATAAAAATTCAGGAAGCACAACTACATTTCTAAACCAAATCTAATCACTTCCTTTATAAAATAGTATTGTTCAAGCAAAATATGTTTTTTAAGCAAGTAATACAAATATTGTCATCTGATTCACTTGGAAAAATCTGATAAAGAAAACAAAAGAAAAAATAACAAGATTTGCTTTTCATGTTTTTCAATGCTAGATTCAGTTAAGACTGTAAATTTTAAAACTCAGGAGAGTATTTTTCCATGAAAAGTAAAATTGTGACACAATACTTATATTCTTCCACAGAATTGCCAGAATGCTATTCTCCATTTACCTTTGGAATCACTTCAACTCAGATGGCAATGCAAACAAGGGGTATAACTTTGTATTATAAACTATCACAACATTTAATGCATTATTTTAGAACTTGTCTATGTCACTACTTCACACATTAGACTTTAAGATCTTTGAGTGCAGAGGAATACGTTTTTTACTTTTATTTTCTATTGCTATTCACAAGGCCAAACATAAGGTAGACCCCCAGACACTGGTGTGCTGGTAAACTGTATCTCTGAAAACAAACACAGATACAAATTCCTCTTCATCTGCAGAGTTTACTGATTCCCATGGTATATGTAAGACGCTGATTTCAGCTGCCTGTAAAGCATCACTGAACACAGAGTGGAGATGAGATACATACTGTGGTTTCTCACAAGCTGGTGAGCCCCAGCACACTGCTGTCCCAGTGTTTGTGGGATACATGAAGCATCCCTCCTACTGATTAACTTCCCAACTACAACAAAATTGATGTGACTCCCATCAGGTTTCTACCTCTATTTTTCTCTGAGTTGTTCTACCAATTTATTCAGTTGAGTTTTAAGCTGCCTGCCTCTTAAAATCGATATAGTTATAGTGAGTCTCTTTCCAGGAGCCAAATGGCTTAGGTCTAGCTATGAATAACTGTTTGAATGCCGAAAGCAATGAATTCTTTACTTTGGCTGGTTAAGAGAGCCGTGTAGGTCTTCATGGCATTTGTGAAATCTCTGATTTTCATAGAAAATAGTATGAGTCTGTTTATATGTGATTTTTCTGTGGAGAAGGGCTAATGGGTTTCATTAGATTCTAATCTGTGCAGAAAATGGTCAAGAGCCTATGGCCCTAACTTCCTTACATTTTACTACTACACTATCTTTTCAGTTCTCCAAAGTTCCCATTTCCGGTGATGAATTACCAAATGTCCCTAATCCCTGAAGCTTTAACTATTGACTATCAAGTACTAGATACTGATTCTATGGCTGACTTTTTGAGCATACCTGTGCCTACTTTTTGTACTATTGTAATTAATGAAGAAGAGCTAAAGTATACACTAAGGAAGCCATTATAACTTTTTAAACCATGATATATGGAAATGAAGATCTAGGGTTTACTTTTGATCTCATAACATGTTTCCTAGATGCTTTTGGCAGAGTATGCAAGACACTAGTGAGGGGCATGGTGTCTAAGACACAGAAAGCCTGGATTCAAATTAAACACTGCTCTGTGGATGTCTGGCCTTTGATCCATAAATAAATGTTTCCAGGCATGTCTTTTTCAAATGAACGACTATAAACTTATTTTTGCCCACCCCTGTATATCTCAAAATCAGCTAACAGGGCACCGAACATAACATAATAAATGTTAATTACTATGGGATGTTATTTTTATTATTTTATTATTAAATTTTCCTGTTTCCATTGTTGGACTACAAAATTTCTGAGGTATAGCATATGTATATTTGATAATTGAAAATACAAAAATGCTTATTAAATGTTGAATAAATGAATGAAATGAGAAAAAATATCTAACAGGCAGTTACCTACCAAGGTTGCTTTTTACAGTAAAAGTAAATTTTATCAGGTTTTTCTCAAAATTATTCATCTCTGTTTATTTTGTAAGAAGATGAAGTATAGCCTTGCGAATCTGTTTTGTTTTCACACTATAGATGACAGGGTTGAGCACAGGGGGCAAAAGCAGATATATATTGGCCATCATCGAATGGACCACTTTGGGGGCTGATCGGCCATAGCGATGCACCAAGGACAAGCTAATCATGGGAATGTAGAAAATAGCAACCGCCCCAATGTGAGAGACACATGTACTAAAGACCTTGTGCCGTTCTTTGGGGGAGGCCATACTGAGCACAGAGCGAATGATCAAGATGTAAGACAGGACAATGCATGGTGTATCCACTCCTGTGGTCAGAATGAGACCAATTAATCCATAGATGCTGTTGGCCCGAGTATCTGAACATGCTAATTTAATCACATCTGAATGGTAACAGTAAGAATGGGAAAGGACATTTGCTCCACAGAAAGAGAGGGGCTTAAGGAGCAAGAGTAGTGGCACTATTAATATTACAGTGCGCAAAATCATTAAGAGACCCATCTGCATAATTCTGGAATGAGTGAGGATAGTAGTGTATCTTAGAGGATCACAGATTGCCACAAAGCGGTCAAAGGCCATGGCCACCAGCACCGCACATTCCATGATAGTAAATCCATGAAGAAAAAACATCTGGATAATGCAGCTATCTAGACTGATTTCTCTTGCGTTAAACCAGAGGATAGCTAATGTTGTTGACATTGTAGAGATTTGTAGCATTTGTCTTCACAATGCTCATATCCTATAGAAATAAGAAATTATATAGTTATACAAAATATTTAGATAAATTTTCTTTTGATTAAGAAAGTTATCTCAAGACATCGGTAAGTATTCTATTATTGAGAATACTCTAAATCACACTCTATTTTATATATATATATGCACACATATGTGTATATTTACTCTTAAATCCAAGATAAATATGTTAATAAAGTTTTATACATATTTAAATTTAATTATTTTCTATATTGACAGAATTTATAGTTCCATTAAATCATAATATTAAAAGATTAGTGACTTAGTTAAAAAAATCAGTGCATTCATTTTTAATACCTTTTGTATGAAATAACTAATAGAAGTCCACTTAAAAATATCTATGGGTTGGAAGTGCTCATGTGGATATAAATCTCCAGATTTTTGCTGATAATATACATTTGGAAGTCATCATTGTATAAGTGCCATTTTAATCAAAACAGTGTAGGTCAACAATCTCAGAAATTAGATTTATAAGAGATAGCTGGTGAATATGAAACTCTGTAAAAGTTATTGGAAAGGTCTATATACTCTAAATCAAGATGAAACTAGGCAGCTCTACAGGAACATTAAAATCAAGAGGACATGGTGTCATGACTGGATGTTGCATACACATCTGTATTAAATTGCTTCAGTGGTCAAGTCTTCTAAGGATTAAAATCTTCAAATGCATCTGAGAACACATTAGTGATCCTCGAAAACATAGTTGAAGCCCAGCACTGAAATCTGAGAACCTGCCTTAGCTGGTTTGGCTCAGTGGATAAAGCATAGGCCTGCTGACTAAAGGGGTTCTTGATTCCAGTCAAGAGCATAAGCCTGGGTTGTGGGCTCGATCCCGAGTTGGGCGCGTGCAGGAGGCAGCCAGTCAAAGATTCTCTCTCATCATTGATATTTCTATCTCTCTCTTCTTCTCCCTTCCTCTCTGAAATCGATATATATATATATAGAAACCTGCTACAGTGACCTGAAGAATGAGTAGAAAAATAAATAGTGGAGGCACAGCGTCTAGTATTTTTGAAACTTATCAGTGAAGGCAGGGAGAAAAATAAGCAATGGCCAAAGAAGACTATAAGGGGAATGTAAGATTTTTGTAAGAATGGAAAGACCTAGGCAAATGTATATTTACAAACTAATGTCAAAGATACATACAATACATAGTGAGAGACTGAAAATATGGAATGCTAGGGATTAATTGATGTAGGAAATTACTTAAGACAGAAGTGGGTGATTGAATATGCAACATGATGATCATTAGCTCTGAAAAAGATGAGGATCCTCGTTTCTGCTGATACTAGTAAGTGCTAAATGAGTAGGTTAGTGGAGGGTTAGAGGAGAGAAATATCACCCACTGCAATCTTTCCCCCCACAATTTTTTTTTTCATTGTGGTCAAATACACCGAACAAAATTTACCATCAACCATTTTTAGGTGTGTAGTTCAGTAATATTAAACACAGTCTTTTTAAAAAAATATATTTTATTGATTTCTTACAGAAGGGAAGGGAGAGGGATAGAGAATTAGAAACATCGATGAGAGAGAAACATCGATCAGCTGCCTCCTGCACATCCCTTACTGGGGATGTGCCCACAACCAAGGTACACGCCTTTGACCGGAATCAAACCCGGGACCCCTCAGTCCACAGGCTGACACTCCATCCACTGAGCAATACCGGTCAGGGCATAAACACAGTCTTAAAGTTGTGCAAACATTGCCACCATTCATCTCCATACATCTTTTCATCTTATAAAAGTAAAACTCTATACCCATTAAATAATAACTTCTTATTTTCCCCATTCCAAGCCCTTGGCAACCACAATTAACACCTTCCTTGCCTCCTTACCAGCTTCATATGAAAAGAGGAGCCTTTTCTGTCTTCACTAGCAGAGCAAGAACAAGTTATAGTTCTGGAGCCGTGAACTTTATAGTAAATTGGTATTAAGCTCTGGGGCCTTTGGCAAATTTAAATTTCCCTGGAGCCATAAAAAGAGAAAAACTTTTCATCTATAATACAAGACAATGCTGTGTAATCTCAGAAGGGGTTTAGCTACTGGCTCAAGTGACAAGTGGCCCTTAGAGACCTTTGATGCAAAGCAAATAAACCAAATTATCCATATAAATGAATGTTTGGATCTTGCTCTGTCACTGGGGAATAGAGAAGTGCATGTCATTGTCTCTGGATTATCACGATTCTGGGAAGATAAGAAAGCAAACCAATATTAACTAGAATAATTATGGTGACAATGAAGATGGAAGAAATATGTACCCCAGTCTGCATTACTACACTGACCCATAGGGAGGATGATATCTACTCCTGAATCCATCTCTTTTCAGTGACTCACTATCTTTTCCCCAAGAAATGGGTTAGTCCCTAATAAATTAAACAGGACCCATTTTTCTCATGGCTGAGGTCATTGTGAATAATGAGTTCTCTCATGCCTGTGTTCTTGCTCTCATACTTAATGTTTTTCCTGTGGTAATACATTTAACATCCTGGACTCATGGGGGATTTTGGCCAACCTTGTCCAAAAAGTTGGGTGTGTAACTTGAGTAGTTGAGTAACAGATGCAGATTACTTTATAGACCTAGAAATTCTAGATTCATATGAAAAGACAAGATGCATACCCAAATATTATGTTTTCCTTTATAGGGAAGCTTCACATTGGCAAAGAGTCTTGCATTTGTCCAGATATCAATTAAACAGTAAAGTGTTCTCTGTTTGGCTATTTTTCCTTGATTTATATTTGGCTTTTTTTTTTTCTCCATATGCTTCCTTGCGTGAGAATGCTTAATGGCAGAGTGGAGTGTTCAATTCAAGCTTTATAACTCCATCAGAAACCCCTATCAAGTGCCTGGACTGATACTTCAACAATAAAAGTGAACTATGAAAAAAAAATCATTGTGTAAAATGGCATATTTTAGGGTATTGCAGATAGCAGCAAACCAGTTGAAAGCCATGGCCAAAAGCAAAGAGGATTCCATAAGGCTAAATCCATGCAGAAAGAAAAATTGTATAATGCTGGCATCCAGGCTGATGTCCTGGCATTAAATCAGTGGACACCCAGTGTTGTGGGAAGAAAAGAAATAGCAATGCACATGCGAGTGGTAGAGAGTATGAATAGGAAAGAGTAAACGGGCTTGTGGAAGCTGGAGTCAATGATCATAACATAGAGTTTGTGCTGTTCTCCAAAAGGGCAACCATATAAGGCAGAAAAGAGGGATAGGAGACCCAATGTGAAAAGCTTCTAGTCCTGGAACTCCAGCCAAAGAAAGTGGGGGAATTGGAGTTACCAATGGGTAGCACAGTGGCCTGCATGAAACAGCACTCCCCTTCAGTAAGCTCCTATAATAAAACATTTCATTGAGTCAAAAGTACTCTCTGTCAGGTATTTTGATAATTGTTTTATTTAAATATGCTTTTTGTCATTGTGAATTCTTACCAAGGATATTTTTCCATTGGTTTTTAGAGAGAGTGGAAGGAAGGGGAAGAGACAGAGAGAGAAACATCAATGTGAGAGAGACACATTGATTGGTTGCCTACGCATGCGCCCGACCAGAGCCGGGATCAAGCCTACAACCGAGATATGTGCCCTTGGCAAAAATCAAACTCAGGACCCTTCTCTCTGCTGGCTGATGCTCTAGCCACTGAGCCCAAACAGCTAGATTTAAATAGGTTTTATTGATCTTTTCATTTGTATTACTTCTCACAAGGCCTACACAAGGTAGACTCCCAGTCACTGGTGTTCTGGTAAACCAAATCTCTGAAGAAAAAAAGTACCTTTGCAGTGTTTGCCTATTTTTATGGTATCAATGCGGATTTTGAGCTGCCAATATATATCACTGAACACACAGTTAACAGAGATACACATAATGGTCTTTTGAAAGATGGCATATTACTTCTCCCAGTGTTTGTGGGGTACTTGAAACATCTCTTGTGTTTTTAATCACTTTTCCAACAATAAAATTCAGGTTTCCATCCCAATTTCTCTAGCACTTTACAAACCAAATCTTAGTCTTCATTTAGTTGCTGTGAGTCCATTTTTAGGGATCAAATAATTTAGATCTAGCTATATAGAGCTATTTGTAGCTGAACACCATGAATTATTTACCTTGATTCTTTGGTTGGTTAAGAGAATGGCATCATCACATTTGTGAAACCTCTGAAATTTTATGAAAAATAATGTATGTCTTTATATGTGATATTTCTTTGGAGAAGGCTTCAGATTCCCAAGAGGCCATTGGCCCAAATGTCCTTACATTTTACTTCACAATTTTTTCTAGTTCTCCAAAATTTCCATTTTCTCCAATGAATTAGCAAATGCACCAAACCAGTACTGGATACTGAATATGGCTTACACATACTGTTGCCATGACACATACTACTCCTATCTTTTGTACTATTAATTATGAGTGAGGAAAACCAGCTAAATTATACACTAGGAAGGATCAGGTTCTTACAAATGATCTTAAAATAGTTTTCCTAGATGCTCTTGGCAGAGTATGCAATGTACGAGTGAAGAGAATGGTGTCCAAGATACAGAAGGCCTGGATTAAATTCTCAGTCCTTCTCTGTTAGATGTATGGCCTTTGGTGAACTAAACGTCTCTAGGCCTCAGCATCTTCAGCTCTAAAATACCGGGATTGGCAAAAGTAGGTTTATAGTAGGTTGTGAGCATGTGAAACACAGAGTTTATTCTTGTATTGTTATTTATTTATAATAGTACTATCTACTTGTATTATTTATCTTATTATTCTTTTTGTTATTATTTCATATCTTAGGATTTATCTTTTGGGAAATGATAGCTGCTAATTTAACCTACTTTTGCCCACCCCTGTATAATTAATAACTTTATATATCTCATTGAATTACTGTAGGATAAAATAGAATATATCTTAAAAAACTATTAGTGGAACCTGGCCGGCATGGTAGTCGAGCATTGACCTATGAACCAGAAAGACACAGTTCGATTACCTGTCAGGGCACATGCCTAGGTTACAGGCTTATGCAGGAGGTAGCTGATTGATGATTCTCTGTAATCATTGATGTTTCTCTCTCTCTCTCTCTCTCTCTCTCTCTCTCTCTCTCTCTCTTCTTTTCTCTCTGAAATAAATAAAAGTAGTATATTTTTAAAAAGCTGTTAGTAGACCACACAGTATAAAGTAAATGCCCAGTAAATGTTAATTATTATGTATATTATTTTTATTATTATTTTCCTGCTTCCCTTATTTGATGAACCATAAATACTTGAGGTATATCATATTTTATGTAATGACTTAGCAAATATAAAAATGCTTACTAAATATTTGCTGAATAAATGAATTAAATGAGAAAAAATATCTAACAAAGAGTCACCTAACAGCGAAAGTAAGTTTTATCAGGCTTTTCACAAAATTATTCATCTCTGTTTATTTTGTAAGAAGAAGACGAAGTATAGCCTTGCGAATCTGTTTTGTTTTCACACTATAGATGACAGGGTTGAGCACAGGGGGCAAAAGCAGATATATATTGGCCATCATCGAATGGACCACTTTGGGGGCTGATCGGCCATAGCGATGCACCAAGGACAAGCTAATCATGGGAATGTAGAAAATAGCAACCGCCCCAATGTGAGAGACACATGTACTAAAGACCTTGTGCCGTTCTTTGGGGGAGGCCATACTGAGCACAGAGCGAATGATCAAGATGTAAGACAGGACAATGCATGGTGTATCCACTCCTGTGGTCAGAATGAGACCAATTAATCCATAGATGCTGTTGGCCCGAGTATCTGAACATGCTAATTTAATCACATCTGAATGGTAACAGTAAGAATGGGAAAGGACATTTGCTCCACAGAAAGAGAGGGGCTTAAGGAGCAAGAGTAGTGGCACTATTAATATTACAGTGCGCAAAATCATTAAGAGACCCATCTGCATAATTCTGGAATGAGTGAGGATAGTAGTGTATCTTAGAGGATCACAGATTGCCACAAAGCGGTCAAAGGCCATGGCCACCAGCACCGCACATTCCATGATAGTAAATCCATACAAGAAAGTTGGAAATGTAGAAGTCAAGTTACTTAAGATCTCTATGTTTTGTGGATTTGTAGCATTTGTCCTCACAATGCTCATATCCTATAGAAATAAGAAAGTACATGGTTACACAAAATATCTAGATAAATTTTCTTTGTGTTAGGAGAGGTATCTAAGTTCATAAATAAGTGCTCTACCATTTTGAAAACTCTAATTTGAACTCTGACATTTATCTGCATTCATATCAGATATTTATCAAAATATATAAACATTTTAGGTCTTAAATTCAAGGAAAATATGTTGGTATAATTTTATTCATTTTATTGATTATTATTTTATATATTGACATAGTTTTAAGTTCCATTAGATCATTAGATTCTGTGGATAGAGACTTAGCTAAGAAAAATAATTACATTCAATTTTAGGTATATAATATATGAAATGACTAAGAGAAATCCACTTAAAGGTATCCTTAAATCTGAAGTGTCCATGGGATGTGAATCTCCAGGCAAAAAGTTCCAGATTTGAACTGGAGACAAAAACTCAGATTTTTTGCTTCTTATAGACTTGGAAGTTGTGAATTATTGTAATCTAACATTGTGGGTGAACAATCTCAGAGAGTGGACTTGTAAGTGAAAACTAGTGACAATGAAACTGCAGATTTACTGTAAAGGTTTATATCCTAAAGTGAGATGGGTTTAGACAATTTTTAGGAACCATAAAAACCAAGAGAGCATGGTCTCATGACTCTGTGTTATATGAACAATAGTGTAGAATCGCTTATGTAGGCAAGTCTACTAAAGGTCAAAATTTTTAAATGAGATCCCATGTAATGGTTATATTACTGAACCTAAAAAAGTAGTCGAATTTCCCCAATGAAAGCTGAGAACCTGCTAAGGTAGCATGAGGAATAAATGGGAGAATAAGCAGTGGAGGCACAGTGTATATTATTTCTGGAAACTTGTTAGTGGAATCAAGAGAAAAGGCCATGACTAAGGTAGATGGAGAATTTTTGCAAAATTGTAAAGATTGAGCATCGTCCCATGCACCAAGAGGTCATCGGTTCATTCCCCATCAGGTCAGGAGACAGCCAATGGATGTTTCATTGATGTTTCTATCTCTCTCTCCCATTCCCTTCTTCTCTCTCTAAAAATCAATTAAAATATATTTTAAAAAAAGATATAGTAAGTAACGAGAGCTTGAAAATATACAATGGTATAGAAAATTCTTTAAGAAAGTACCAGGTGATTGATTTAGTACATGATAGTAATTAGCCCTCAAAAAATCGACATGATGCAATATACAGATCATGTGTCATAGAAATGTACACTTGAAATCTATATAATCTTATTAACCAATGTCACCCCAATAAAATTTAATTTTAAAAAGGTGATGATCATCATTTCCACTGACATTAAAGAGTAAGTGGCAAAAAGTAGATTAGTGGAGGAGTATATGAGGGCATTACGTGCCAGTGCTTTAAAATAAATTTTTTAGGATAGTCAAATACACCGGACATAAAATTTACCATCATAACCACTTTAGGTATACAATTAAATGATATTGCATACATTCATAGTGTTGTGTGACATTACCATGAACTACCTCAACTCTTCTCATCTTGTAAAACTGAAATTCTATAGCCATTTAAACACCCCCCCCCCATTTCCAGAGTCCCTCTAGTCTCTGAAAATCACCATTCTACTGTCTCTCCTTATGTTTTAATTATTCTAAATATCTCATATAAATAGAATAACACGGTATTTGTTATTTTGTGATAGCTTATTTTACTTAGCACAATGTTCTCAAGGTTCATACATGCTGTAGCCTGTGTCAGCATTTCCTTCCTTTTTAACTAGTGCTTACTTTTTGCTCCACATGAGTTTTGAGTGGTATTTACTGCTGTTCTAGGAGTATGAAGTAATGGATGCCAGTTTGAAAATAAGGTAGAGGTTTTCAGTAGACATTGCAGAAAAGAGGAAAGGCAGTTGAATCAATCCACACAGAAATGTTATAACTGTTATAAAGTCTCATTCAATTAACATTTTAAAAATCTTTAAATGAATACATTTACATTGTTAAAATCAGTCCTAGGAAGACAAAAATCAAATAATAGCAATGTTAATTATTATATATTAATATGTTTTTAATTAAACATTTTAAAATACTAGGTAAAGTTTACTTCCTGAGAGCAAATACCTTGTAATAAATATACATGTTACTATTCCCTTTATGCTTGTTTCTACATTTGCTTTTTCATTTCAAGTTCCTAGGGTTTTCAGTCGATCTGAGAAAAATCATTACAATAGTTAACTATAATTTTGTAGGGTTCAGAAATCTGTGTGTTATATGGATCCCTCAGGACAAGGGTGACTGTAAGTTATCTGACTTTTCTACAAGCTCACATGAATATTTGTGAGTAGGCACCCATCAAAGAACAACCCTAACACAATAAAACACCTTTCTCTACCTTCTTACCAGCTTCATGTGGAAAGAGGAGCCTTTTCTGTCTTCACTAGCAGGGAGAGAACAAGTTACAGTTCCGGGTCCAAGGCCTTTATAGCAAAGTGGGATGGAGCTGTGGGACCATTGGCAAAATGCATTTCTCCCTGGGGTCACAGACAGAGAAAAACTAAAAAATTTCTCTCTCTCCATCTCTCCATACAGGACAGTGTGTTCCATGGGATCCTTAAATGCAAATAAACCAAATCATCCATATAAATGGATGTTGCTCTGTCACTGGGGAATAGAGAAGGGCAGGTTGTTGTGTGTATTATCCATATGCTGTAAAGATAAGAAACAAACCAGTGTTTCCTGGGACAATCATGGTGACAATAAAGAGTGAAGAAATTTGCAAACCACTCTCTAGGCCCCTGTTTCTTTATTACTGCATCGTCCCATAGGGAGGATGATACATCCACTCGCGAATCCATCTTTGCCTAGCCACTCACTAGCTTTTCCCCCTCAAATGGGTCAGCTCCTGATATATGAATTGGGCCCTATTTTGCTATTGGCTGGCATCACTGTGTATGAGTAATATGTTCTCATGTGAGCTTACTCTGGTAAATGGTGTTTTCCTGTGGTAATAAGTGGAAGGGTCCAGATTCTTGGGATAATTTTTCCAGTCTTGTCAATGTGAGCAGTTAAGTATGGATGCTGATTACTTCATGAGCCTAGAAATTCTAGATTCATAGGAGAAG